GAGCAGAGGAGGAGAGGGGTTGCCATGTATAATAAGGCTTCAGTGATTAAAACAGTGAGATGCAGTGCAGAAATACACAAATTCACCAGTGGGAGAGAAGAGAGACTCCAGGGATAGGCCCTTGAGAGTCTGAAGCTTGATTAAGCCAGAGGCGGCATCTCAAACCAGTGTGAAGAGAGTTGCCTGTAAATGGTGTGCAGAAATTGGTTATCACACGGCAAAATGATGAAAAAGTTTGTTGCTATTGTTTTTATTTTTTAAAAAAGTGTTTATACCTTTGAGAGACATAGAGAGCCACAATGCAAGCACGAGAAGGGCAGAGAGAGAGAGAGGGAGACACAGAATCCAAAGAAAGCTCCAGTCTCTGAGCTGTTATCACAGAGCCTGACGGGGGGCTTGAACTCACAATCTGTGAGATCATGACCTGAGCTGAAGTCAGACACTCAACCGCCTGAGCCACCCAGGTGCCCCTGAAAAACTTTGATTTCTACCTCAAGCTAGCCACAAAATAAATTGCGGCTGGATTGATAAAAGAGCAAAAACCTTCAGAACTTTTGAAAGAAAATGTAGAAGAAACCATTGTAACCAAGTAAAGATATTAAAACGCAGAAACTAAAAGAGGAAAAGACTGATACATTTGTGTTAAAACTGACATTTTCTGAATGACAAAAGACATCCTAAAATAAAAAGACGAGCCATGGAGTGGAATAAAAGAGCTGTGATGCTTATAACTGCCACAGGATTCATGTGCTGACTATATAAAGAACATCTACTACAAGTTAAAGAGAACAAGATAATGGTGGGGGGGAAGACAGGAAAAGGTCACAAGCAGACAGGTAAGTCATAGAAGAGGGCACACAGTGGGCAGGAAATACACAGAGATGCTGAACATTATGACCAGTCAGGATATGAAAATTAAATAAGCAAAATAAAATGTGATATAGTTTCACATGCATTAGATTGACTTAAAACTTTGAGGTCTGACAATACCAGAAATTGATGACATTGTGGGGAAAATTAGAACTCGCACACGCTACTAGCGGTTAGGAATGATTTAGTCAAGTCTGGTACGTTAACGTGAATGCATATTCTAGAGAAACATTCTATGTGGGCATGAGAGAGACACAAACAAGGATGTTCACTGCAGTGTTGTTTATAACGAAACCTTGACTGTTCCATCAATGGAATGGCTAAATGAGCCATGATATGGTCTTTTTTTTTTTTTAATTTTGTTAATGTTTATTTCTGAGACAGAGAGAGACAGAGCATGAGTGGGGAAGGGGGAGAGAGAGAGAGAGAGGGAGACACAGACTCCAAAGCAGGGTCTAGGCTCTGAGCTGTCAGCACAGAGCCCGGCGCAGGGCTTGAACTCATGAACTGTGAGATCATGACCTAAGCCGAAGTCGGACGCTTAACTGACTGAGCCCCCCAGGCGCTCCTAACCACGATATAGTCTTAATGGAATATATACTGAAAGGGGTAAAGATCCTCAAAGAAAGTCAGGAAGTGGAGTCCTCATTCTTGTTCTGCTTCTGATGATGGATGTTACACAAGCCGCCTGTCTGTCTTTCTAGAATGCTCTCCCCAGATATTCTCACAGCTGGCTCCCTCCAGGTCCGTGTGCAAATTCCACCTGCTCAGAGAGACTTCCCTGACCCCAGGACCAATGGAACCAGCATCTGCACTCCCTGGCATTGCTTTGTCAAGAAGCAGCGTGTTTTGGGGCCGCCTGGGTGGCTCAGTTGATTAAGCATCCACTTTGGCTCAAGTCATGATCTCACAGTTCGTGAGTTTGAGCCCCGTGTCAGGCTCTCTGCTGTGAGTGCAGAGCCCACTTCAGATCCTGTCTCCCTCTCTCTCTGCCCCTCCCACACTCGCTCTCTCTCTCTCAAAAGTAAATAAACATTTAAAAACAACAACGCAAAGAAGCAGAGCGGTTTAAAAGGTGAGTGTGTAGACTGGGTTCGAATCCCAGCTTTACCAAGTACTGCATTATCACCTTAGGTAAGTCAGTTAAGCTTTCTGTGACTCAGTTTCCTCCTCTGTAAATGGAGATAATAATAGTTTTCACCTCATAGGGTTGTCGTGAGGACTGAATGAGTGGATATGCCAAAGACTTAGAACAGTGCCTGATATAGAGGAAGTGCTAGCACATTATATGGCAGTTAATGAAATGAAGCAGACTGGAATGATGTGAAATAATAAATCTCACAAGTGTTATGACAAGGGCAAATCCCACGTGCACCTCACTCCCGCTTGAACTACTCTCCTGATCATGGGCAGTGCACGATCCAGGCCTTGGTCGCAACTACAATTGGGTGTTCTCATGGGTTTCGGTGCCTCGCACCCTACTGTCCATGCCTGTCACAGCCCGCCCATGTCAGCTTTTGGCAGTATTGGTTGAGCTGATTGAATTGAATGAGTTCTGACAAGGCCTTGAATGCCAGTGGATGGAAACACCACTTAACTCTTCCAGATGGTGTATTTTAAGAAATTGCAATAAAGCCAGGACGCGGGTGGGACAACAGAGCAGGTGAGTGACACAGATACCCAGAAAGGGACAGAATCCCAGAGGCAGGATGTCTCCAAGGGCTGGGACTCTGGGACTCTCAGACGAAGGAGTGGGGGCTCTCACCCAGCCCCTTTCTGAAGGTGTGTTCTAGGGCCCATTGTGTGACTGAAACATCAACTGCTACATTCAGAGGACTCTCTGAATTAAAAAAAAAAGATGTACAAGGACCAACAGACACCTGAAAAGACGCTCAACTTCACTCATCATCAGGGAAATGCAAATCAAAACCACAATGAGATATTACCTACATCTGTCAGAATGGCTAAAATCAAAAACATGCAAAACAACAAGTGCTGGCGAGGATGTGGAGAAAAAGGAACCCTCGAGCACTGTTGGTGGGAATGCAAACTGGTACAGCCACCGTGGAAGACAGTATGGAGGGTCCTCAAAATAATGAAAAATAGAGTTACTAGATGATCTAGTATTTCCACTACTGGATATTTACCCAAAGAATAGGAAACACTAATTCAAAAGGATACATGCACCCCTATGATTACTGCGGCGTTATTTACAATAGCTAAATTACGGAAGCAGCCCAAGTGCCCATCGATTGATGAGCGGATAATTACTCAGCCATACCAAAGAAGGACATCTTGCCCTTTCTTATTGTACTCCTGAAATGAGTACGACATTCTATGTTAACTATACTGGAATTTAAATGAGAAAAAAAAAATCTAGAAGGATCTAAGCAGAGCCCTTAGCACTGGCTACAGGAAGGAGGCTTAAAAAAAAAAAACTCCACATACTTTTGCACTGTTTGAGTTTTGTACAGTGAGGAAGAGTTGATTACTTGTGAAATATTAGAAAGAAAATATTATTTGCCTGTAAAAGGTACTCAGTAAGTGGGCATTACTATTATTCTTTACAATGAAGACAGACAGACTTCTCACCAGGCACAGGGGCCCCCGGGAGGGGAAGGCAGCCCGCTGGCACCCTCTCCTCACACTATGCAGCGGGACCTTCTGCAAGGCTCACTGGCTCTACCTTCAAAGTGTGTCCTGAGCCCATTGGCTTCATTCTGTCTTCATCACCCAGCCACCTGCTGTGCTCATCCCCCGCTGGACACACCAGAGGCTCCCTGGTGCTGCCCTTCCCCCTCCGCCTGACTCTGCGCAGCCGCTGAGTGAGGTTCCTGAAAAACCCCAGCAGGGTAGTAGATCCGCACGCACCAAAGCGATTCCCGGGTGCCAGACTCAGTGATAAGCCGGTCACTCTAGCTCAGTTAATCCTCTAACGACACTGAGAATCAGGTACACGCAGAGTCTCCACCTTACAGGTGCAGAAACGGAGCCACAGGAGTGTGCCCCCAGCCCACGTGGCGTAATGGCCAAGCTGGGATCCAATGCACGTGGAGCGCGTGCTCTGAGCCGCCTCCCCATGTCGCCCCTCACAGCGTGCCTGTGCTCCCCTGCTCTCCGAGCTCCGGCCCCAAGAGTCCTGTGCGTGCCATCTGACCCCCGCCTGCCTCTCCAGCCTTGGCGCCCAACCCCCTTCTCGCCCCCACTCCCTGGCTCCCTGGCTGTTTCTCCACCTGGAACGTTCTTTCCCCCATCTTCCAATGACTGGTTCTGTCACATCACTCAGGGCTCCGTTGGGATGTCGCCTTCTCCGAAAGGGCTTCCCTGACCACCTTTGCTCAAACAGCCCCCACTTTGTTCTCTGACTCTTTCTTGCCATAATTGTATTTCTAGGTCTTATCACGTCCTGATGTGGCATCATAAGGTTACCTATCTGAATGCTTAATGTCTCCTGTCTCTAGAATTTCTGCTTCTGGAGGGCGCGGACGTCGTATGATAGCACAGTAAATGAATAAATGCGCTCCGAGGCGCCCATGGGGATGCTGGTGTAGACCCACAATATGGGACTGGCAGGAACACGTGCGCTTCCCCTACACCGGACGCCCCTTCTGCCCTCCGGTCCTCGTCTCTGGGGAAGAAGGTGACCTGAGATCCTCTGTATTCCTTCCCCGTCTCGCCCCCTCCGGCTCATCCCTGAAGCCACAAGGCTTGTACCTCTCCAGCCGCCTGGATGCCGGCCCCACCACAGTGATGAAGATGTGAAGTGTTGCCCCGCCCAAGGATGTGTGCATTTCAAACAAGGCCCAACAGGAATGCCAGGGTATGACCGTGTCATGGTGTCACTTCCAAGCCCAGGGTGTTTGAGGGAGGTATTGCCTTTCTCTCTCCCTGGCAGACAGAGCGTTGAGGGAGAGATGGGTTCACGCTCGCCCAGTGGGTCAGACTCTGGGACCTGGCAGACCCCGACCTCAGATGTGCCAGGTGATTGCTGTCCCGCTGAACCCCCTTCTTCCTTTCCCGCCACCCGGAATGCCTGTCTTTGTTCCCCAAAGCGTCCCAAGCCATCTTCAGGCTCCGCCTGGGGGAATCCCCCCAGAAGTTCCCCCAGGGAACCAGAACCAAGGCCTTACCCATTTCAATCCCGCAGATGACCAGGGCCGCAATCACTGCCCCCGCCGACGTCCCGGCGAAGCGATGGGTTGTTTCCAGCATCCGGGGGGCCAGGTCTCGAAGGGCATCCACCGCCCCGGCCTGGTAGAAGGAGAGAAATCCACTGCCAGAAAAGGAGATGGAATGAGGAGTGTCGGGGTCCCCCTTGAACACCTGTTCTTCCATCGCTTTGGCCCCTCAGCGCCTGCCTCCGGCTGCTCTCCTGCTAGAACTCAGGGCCGAGCCTCGCTGCCGGCCCGGAGCCGAGAATGGGGCCGTCTCTCCCGGATCGGCTGGGACACCCACGGGCGGCTCAGGCAGCCACCGCCTGGGCCTGTCGGGCTCCTCCAGGAGGCAGTCCCAAAGGCTGGTACAAGGTGTCAGGCCCAGGAGGGGTTGTAGAAGGCACCCCGAATGTGTGAGCGGCGTCCTGGACCTCCCAGCACGTCCCCGACTTCATTGCGTGGCTGGATTCATCTCTGTGCCAGACTCCTGAGCACTGGTCCCGTGCTGCGCACAGCTAGCAGCCCTGGCAGCTGCCACCAGGGCCATCCCCAAGAGGCAGGCACGACGCAGCCCTCAGCCCAGGAGGCTTCACACACTGAGTTGCAAAAGCTCCACCAATGGTTATCACAGCGTGCCTCTCTGACAGCTGCGGCAGCCGAGGAATGATACGCTGGCCTCACTCCGAGAGGACCGTGTCCCCTCCCCCACAGGGGCAGGGCCGGCAGGTGGCCTATGGTGCTTGAGGGGGACACGCTCACACCACGCGTGCCCCCCGACAGCATTGCCCCTCCCCAGGCTCCTTCTCCAGGCTCCGTGGGCCCCGCACGGTGTGTTACACAATCGTTTTCATTTGTTCTTACGTAAGACCGTGTGTGTGTTCACATGTTAGGACCGGCCACGGGCAAAATTGTAAAGGAAGAGAAGTCAGGCTTCAGGGCCCAACCCAGCACCGCCTCGCCATCTCTCCCCACCTTGGCTCCCGAGCCCTATGCGGACCCACTCACCCTTAGTACCTTCCCACCCACCAAGTCCCAGACTTCCATGCTGTCTCCTAAGTGTACAGGAGAAAATCAGCCTGAAATCTAGATCATTCTAAGTGTTTAGAGCTTCATACTGTATGCTCTTCTGATGATAACTTTGAGATGGCAACATTTAACCCCAAGAATGAACAGCTTTGCGAGGCCAGATGTGGGGGCACAGGGATGAGGGCCGAGAGGTACTTTGGAGCCCAGAGGGCAAAGGAAGTGGTGCATGGGGACCGCGACTGGCTCCAGGGAGCACTGGCCATGCCCCTTCTGGAGCCGTGCAGTGCGGCCCAGGAGAGGAGGGCCCCTCCTCAGTCCACAAATTTCTCTGCCTAGGATACCACAAAGCTGCAAAGTGGCAAAATCACATCTCCCCCCTCCCTCCCACCCAAGACCATGCGGTGTCAGGACCTGAATTAGAATTGAGACACCGTGGGGCGCCTGGGTGGCTTAGTCGGTTAAGCGTCCAACTTGCGATTGGGTCATGATCTCGCGGTTCGTGGGTTCGAGCCCCGCATCGGGCTCTGTGCTGACTGCCAGCTCAGAGCCTGGAGCCTGTTTCGGTCTGTGACTCCCTCTCTCTCTGACTCTCCCCTGCTCACGCTGTCTCGCTCTCTCCTAGAAATAAATAAAACATTTGGAAAAAAAAAAAAGAATTGAGACACCGAGTCCCCCACTCAGTGCTCAGCCCAGCCCCACACACTCTGTTAGGATGTGATGTCGATGCTTCTCCCCAGTCCCAGGGAGCCCCCACCGACTCGTGGCCTCACTGATCCACACCGGAATCCACAAGGAGGGTGACCCCCCCAGGACTCAGTTAGGAGAAAGTTTTTTCTCTTGGGTGGATATTCCAGTTCTATAACTGCTTCCTGCATCTGGGAAGAGAACTTTGGATTAACTGTGTGTGTGACAGGGACAATGTGAGTCCTGACACAGGCATGCAGAGAGGGATACGAGGCTTTGCTGCTGGCGGGGGGCGGGGGAGGGCGAAGGTGGGTCGCGACAGGCTGGAGTTCAGCCAGCTTTTGGAATGTGGGGATCCTGCCTCCTTCCTCGGACACCAGGTCAGCTCCACCGAGTATTTGAGCACCGAGCTCTGTGTCAGGCGCCTCGGGGACAGGGTGGGTACCAGCACCATCCCCTCACTCGGACGCTCACAGGCTTCTTGGGAACAAGACAAGCAAACGTGAAACAACCAGAGAACCGCACACGGCAGTCTGTAATTAAGGACCAAGTCGCGCGGGGCTGAGATTCCTGCCAGGGAAGGTAAGACGCGAGGGTGACTAGCGTGGGCGGGAACCACCCGAGAAGCTATGCGCTGGACCCCTGGGCTGGGGGGATTCAAAGAAGCTGGAAGGAAGAGGGAGGGTTTAGTGGCAAGGAACAGCACAAACTCCCCGCAGAAGACAGAATGGGCGTGATGGAGGGCAGTTACACAGGATGAAGGGCTTTGAATCACGCCGACACGAGCTGAATCCCAGCTCTGCTCTTTACAGGCAGCGTGACCTGTGTGTGAGGCTCCTGGCCTCTGTTTTCCTCATCTGTGAAAGGGACAATAATACCGTTGCTGTAGCTATAAAGGTTAAAGATATGGCTGTCAAATGCCTGGCATGTGGTACCTCTGTTATGATTAAAGGGTAGCAAGGGTCCAGGCTTCTGGAACAGATGGACCTGGGAGGTAAGGCGGAATAGAAAGGGGAGCTCTGGAGAGGAAGGCGTGATTCACTTGTGATCCGCAGGAGGAGTGGGCAGAGGGCTCAGACAGGCGACGAGACCAGGACTGGAAGACGAGGAAGCAGAACTGTATCCTTCTAGAGAGGCTGGCGACCGGGCCAGTGCAGAAGCCGAAGGGAAACAAGGTAAGGAAGTCAGTGCTGCAGACACTCTCAGGACGGGGCGACTGGTTGGGTGAAGATGAGTCACTGCGGATACCTCGGTTTCAGCCTGGGGGTCGGGAGGGGTAGGGCAGCCTTTGGCTGACTTAAGGAAACTGAGACAGGGCTGGGGAAACCGAGGGACCTTTAAGACGTGTCTGAGAGAACAAGATGAGGTGGGCGCTGGAGGTAGGGGGGCGGGAAGTCTCCAGAAGGGGGCAGAGACCCGTGCCACTGAGGCAGCAGAGAAGGGTAAGCAGTTAAAGGTTGGCACAGGGTTCTGGTGAAGAAAGACCACGTTGGGCCCGTATTCTCCTTCCAGGTTCATGTTGCCATCCCCAAGGCAACGGGAGGCCAGACCACCTTGCTCTGCACAGGCTGCGAGGGCTTGAGATGGGCTGCGAAAGGCTGGGGCCCGCCATCCTTTCGAGGATGGTGTCTTGATCTGACGTGGCCTCAGACGTCCCCACCACCTCGGCCTGGCTATTGGGTTGGGCCATCGTCTTCGCTGAGTGCGCTTATCCCACAGGGGATGATGGGGGCCCCAGCAGGTGCACCACAGCCTCTCTGCAGACGAGCAAACCAGAAAGTCAGGCTAGCCCACGAGAAGGCCCCATGGGCGCTGCTAACGTGTTCACGGAGCGCTGACCCTGGCGGAGTGGCCCGCACACCTTCTCCTGTGCCTCGGAGTCAAGCCGCTGAGAAGGCTGATCTCCTTTCCCCTTGTTCCTGAGGTTAGACTGAAAGCCCTAAGGAAGACACCAAGAAAGGATCCGTTGCAACATTTCTGCGTTTTCAAGTCAGCTTGGAATCGTCTCAGGTGCTTTGAGCTGACTTAGCCCTGCCCGTGTGACTCATCAGCCCCTGGGGCAATCACAGGCAGGAGGGGGTGACTGCCTACCACATGCAGTCCCAACAAGATGACCCCAAAGGAATTTATGGAAGAACCTGGAGTTCTCATAAGTATAAAATGTGCCAAGCCACCAGGACATGGCCCTGGGGGAGGAACGCAGCGTTGAGACTGTGGGGTTAGCCTTTCATTGATGATACCTCGCCCTCCGCTTGAATCTTATAAAATGTCTCTTTAGTGTAGAAACTGGTTGTTTCTTGAGGTGAGAGAGGATGAAGGTCACGGCATCACCCATGGATGATCTTGCCAATAATGTTTAACCTGAATCTGATTAAGACTTACTTTCCAGCTGACGGTGAATACAGAGCGTGAAGGAAAAAGCTAAGGGTGCCCGGTGAAAACGACCAGACAAATTGAAACTGTGGGCAGGGCTGATTAGATACTGTTGTTGCTACATAGCAGCCATTCCCGGGCCACTTGTTCTCTGCCCACTTCCCTATAAAGCAGCTAAAACACCTGAGACTTGATTTTCCAGCCGCTCCCCCCTCCCCTTGCATCTAGAAACAATCATGAGATCCAGTTCTGGTCAATGTGAAGTAAGGGGAAATCTGCTGGTGGCTTCTCAGAAAGATTCTCCTCCTTGGTGAAGGAAAAAGGTGTACACAGAGAAAGCCCCTTTTCCTCTCTCCTCCATTTTTCCTGCCTGAGGTGCTGCTCTGTGAGAATGTGATGTTTGGAGCTATGGCAGCCACCTTGTGTCCATCAGGGGAAGCATGGTGGACACATGGAGTGTATTCCTTATCTATTGCTGTGTCACAGATTACCTCAAAACTTAATCTCTTAAGGTAACATTTATGATCTCACAGAATTCCTGAAATGGCATATTTGAGTGGTTCTGGCCCAGGATCTCTCATGAGGTTGTAGGTAAACTGATTCTCAAGGTTGCAGTCGTTCCAAGGGTCATTGGGGTGGAAGAATCCACTTCCAAACGCACTCTCACAGTCGTTGGTAGGCATCAGCTGTTGGCTGGCTATTGATAGAAAGCTCTGATGCCTCACCACATGGACCTCTCCAGTGGGCTGCTCACAAGATGGCAGTTTGCTTTCCCCAGAGTGAGAGATGCAAGAAAGTGAAAGAGAGTAAGAGACAGAGATAGAGGAGACAGAGAGAACTGTGTGAACCCAAGATGGAGATTGTCGTCTTTTTATAACCTAATCTCAGGAGCCATACCATCCCTTCTATCATATTCTACTGGGCACACTGACCAACACTGGTAAAATGTAGGAGGGCGTATGAATACCAAGGCGGGAATTGTTGAGGGCCAATTTGGAGGCTGGCTACCACCGTGCGGATAGCAAAAGAGAAAGAAAGCAAAAGCCTGAGTCCTTGAGAAGATTGTTGAGTGACTGTACCCATCCCTAAACCATTTGT